AAGTTAATTGAGGGGAGATAGGACACTAGACCACTGCCTGCTGCAGCACTGTAGTGGGGTGTTGGGCTTCACAGTGAAAAAGTCAATAATATCTTTAAATAATAGTAAGGAAATAAACATTTATCAAAAGGAATTTACATTACTTTCCCATTGTAAGTAGAAGTTGAATTGTCTTATATTTAATGACTTAATTCCATTTATTTTGGGGACAAACTTGAGGCTGCAAGACATATTTAAGCATTCACAAACTTAAATGTTGTGACATTATGTTTGCCGACAATTTCTTGTCATTCACGTATGCGTTTTAGCTTCCCTTAAATGCGTGATAAATATGAAATTGTAGCGCTTGGATAGCAACAGTGAAAGAAGTTCTAGGATACAGCGATCTGAGTCTGTGCAGATTCAAAACAACTTTGCTGTTCTGTGGCTCCCGTTCAACTGGATTTGAAAAGGAGGTATACTGCCATCTTCTGGTGGAAGAAATTAATTACACATTTTCTTAACGCTCAGAGTCCTTAAAAATACAACATACAGCAAACAGACAAAATAGGGGATCTTATGTTAAATCAGCTGATTCAGTCTGTTTTGTTTTTTTTGTCTTGTCTTGAATACACAATTAAAACAATAAATTGATATTACACCACTACGGTTTTTAAAAAAACATTGACTTTAAATGAAAACTGCCATGTTTTTTTCTTAGACTAAGAAGAACAATGTTGTTTTGGTAATAAAATCGATGCAGAAAAACCTTAGAGAAAAACCGTAATAAAGTGGGGGAATGTGTGATCGGTGTGAAGTGTTTTTCTTTCCTTTCTCCTCCGTCTCCCCTGAGTGTTGACAGAAGACAATTAAACGCAGCCTGCCATCGGGATTGATCGTGTCACCCTGACAGTCAGAGCAGAACCGCAGCACCTGTATTCATTAAACAACCTGTTTAGTAACCACAGAGCACAAGGAGAAGTCAGCCTCTGTTCGCAAAGCGAAGCACCACGGAGCGAGAAACACCGGCTAAATCGAACAGAAACTTCTCCACGAAGCGTGACAGTGGGGACAGAATCAAATGGAAGGAAAGCTTGGCCCATACCTCATGTAAACAAAAAAAAAAAAGAAGACAGAAAAACAGAGAGGTGACACAGTGGTAAAGTTAAAAATAAATTTTAAAAAAAGCTAAAATGGCTGAATTCATTGGAAATATGATTGGACTGAGACAGGTTATTTGTTGCTTTATTGCTTCTTAAACATCTGTTCACTTTGAAGGCTTGGGGGTGAAATGTTAACAAGTTTGAGCCCTCCCTGTGAAATGAATAAACGCTCTGCCAAGTCAACTGAAGATGAATAATGAATATTAAAGAGCCGCTGCGCATTGAAACCTAATTAGTCCTCATATACTTGTTTTGCATAACCTTGCTGTAAACCTTGAGTGCCTTGCTTCACATCCCATACAGCGGTGAGTCTGAGAAAAATAGGCCCCTCGCAAGCACCTCCTTCCTCCTCCTCTTCCTCCAATTTCACAAACACATTCTTCAGATGCGAAGCATAGATAAATATGTGTCTAAGTAGATCTGTAATCTGTTTACAGAGGCCCTTAGTCCTAGTCGGCACAGGTTTGAGTCTGTGGAATGAGATTATAATGGAGATTGGATAAAGGTACGAGTAGATGTATAATCTCCATGAATTGTTCCGTCCTCTAATCATCTCTAACTTTGACCTTGGTGCTACATCTGAGGAATTCTTCAATAACTGAAAACATTTTTTTTTTTTAAATGGCACTGAGTGACCTTTTTGTAGACTGAACACTACTTGCAGGATTGATTTCTTCTCTGGCCGAGGTGACCTCAAGAGTAGTTTGGGTAAGTTTGAACTCTGACAAAAAGGGTCAAGGAGATTCTCAAGTTTATACTTTCTAAAGCAGCACTAAAAAAAACTTTTTCCCAAGGAATGAACGGATCTATAATAAAATGCCTTTCAAACAATTTGTCACATTTCAAATACAAACTTCTATATTTCATTGGCATAAATTCTATTTTATTATGTGTCAAAAAAAAAAAAAGGCATCCCTCGGTGATGTGGTGGCGCAGGGGTAGAGCACGTACAGAGGCCTTAGTCCTTGACAAGGCCGTCACATGTTCGAGTTCCCGCCACATGTTTTCATGTCATGCTGCACCATCCCTGCAGCATGACTGCCACCACAGTGTTTCATGGCAGGTGTGATGTGTTCAGGATGATACGCAGAGGGCGTGGCGATGACGCAGTGGTCCGTTGACCTTTGCCACACGTCCTCCCCCTCTCTCACACCTGATTTCCTGTCTGACCACTGTCAAATGAAGGCTACAAGAGTGTGGGGGAAAAAAAGCAATTGTTATGTTTTTTTTTTTTTTTTTTTTTTTTTTTTCCAAAATAATGAAAAAAAAAAATATTCTTTTCATTATTTTCAAAAAAAATAACTATGTAGTTAGTTTTCCACAGCTCATAACATTTTGACGGTAGTCCAATAAAACAACAATCCTGGTCTCATTTGACCAGTGGACCGTCTCTCACTGGTCTGCGTTAATCTTCTTTTGACAGTCATTTTCTACTTCTGCTCTTCTGCAAAGGCATGACATCTTTGTTTCGTTTTTTTTGTTTTGTTTATTGCTGACAATAATTTGAAGATTAAACAAGTAGCTTTGAAAATGTCAGTTGTGATCTGAGTTATGAACCAAAGTATTTGTGAGAAACTGGAAATCCATGCAGTACATTGTTAAAGAAGTTTTTGATGTTTTAAGCTGGGCTGAAGAAAAACTATTTGACACTAGAAAAATGGCCATGGATGTTCGATGTTTGATTGCATAGAAGAATATATTTAGAGCTGCACTTTGACTCATGCTAACTGGCTCATTTGTTTGCTTGTGTCAATAGATGCTCTCATTGGAACATGCAAGGACTGCATTTTTTTGAAGGACAGGTTTAGGATGCAAAAAATACGTCTTGTGATTTAGCCACTCCTGTAGCGCTTCTGATGTCCTCCTTGTTTGGTTGCTCGAGAGATTCACTCAAGTTTTGCACTACTACAATCACAACTGACAGGCGGAAAACTACCAACTGGGACACAAAGAAAAGATAAACTAAAGAAAAACATGTAAAATGAGTTGTAAAAACATAGACAGATGTGTACCTTAAACCTTACATAGATGGAAAATCTCAGAGAAGTGGAAAGTTATTCTGCCATTCAACAGCTAATGGATTGTTCACTTATTACTGCTGACCTCAAGGGAGCTCAAAATCTCTATTACCGCCACTACTACCACAGCAGTTTTGTACAGGAATAAATTCAAGATAGAGAACTCCAACTCCACCTGAACTTTACGAAATATTATATTTTATAATGTTCATCTTTATTATCTCCCTGAAATCTGTTCAGTTATTGCTTTTGTTTTTTTTTTTTTTTTTTTTTTTTTAATGAAACACATATTCTCAACTTTAAAAATGCAGTAGCGTAGCAAACAATGCTGAGTTTTGTAAAAATCTGACAGATCTAGCATGTTCTTTGTCTCCTCTTACCTATGGTGTACTATTTGTGAACACAGTGGTCTGTGTAGATATAAATAGCAAGCAGAGGTTTATTAACTGTCTGTCATGGATCAGGGCATCTGCTTTAAGTGACCCTTGGAATATTCCACCACGTATTATTTGGTACGTGCTCCTGGACCCTTGTTGCTTCATCTCCTGCTTCCTGTGGACGAGGTTTATTATTAATTGAGCCTGTTTGCAGGGGGTGGGGGGAAAAACGCCGACAAGTACAGCTTTATGGATTTATAGATATGTGGTTTGGCAGTGTTCTCTAAATGTCATATTTCAACATTTATTATGATTACTAGGTAACACTGATAAGGTTTCTATGGGGTGTATCAGTGCTGTTTTGTTCCTCGGGCTGAGACAGAAAGGTTCCAAATCAGAGACGCTGTTAGATAACATCCAAACGAATAAGTCTGCAGTCAACATTCAACTTCATTAATCTTACACATAGACCCGACTGTGTTTGACTTGGGGATAGGCTTCAGTAGACAGACAACTCCCACTTTGTAGCAGTGACAAAATCGAACCCACCCAGATATTATCTGCTTGCTGCTGACTTCTCAGGTAGCTCTGCATTGTTGTCAGGTTATCCAGTGAAATTCAATTAAAGGAGCGAAATTACAACTAAGTGGCAACATATTGATTCCTTTTTGCATTTGCACATAATGGGAATTTATAAAGACCCCATAAATATAAAGGCCTTGGAACAATGTCAAGTTCTGAAACAGCATGCAGCAAAAAGTTACTGCAGACTTTTTATGTTGGTATATGTCATTCAGTGCAGCTCTGCAACATTTATTGTACACCATAAATGCTCAGAATGAATAGTTCTTGATACTATTAGGTCCCTAACAAAGACAACTCTTTGGGAACACAATTTAGGGTGCAGTTCTGTGTTTACACATGCTGGCCCAGATAGCACTTCCCACACACACACAATGCATCACAACCCCTGTCAGGCTACTTGACTGACATATATGCTCAACATTTACCTCTGCAAACACAGCCTGCATCATCAGGTCACAATATATTATTTGCTTTGTGGATATGTTTGAGAACAAGGGTTGCATAAGTTAGTGCAGATTATTTTTCCAGCATATCCTGTGCAAGGAAATAAAAGATAAAATGACAGCTTTAAGGTTATAGTACATACCAGCATGGGAACTTCATTATTTTATAACCTAACAGAAATATCAGCTGAGAATGTTTACAAAGGAATACCACATCTATATTACTTTTATTAAAATAACTGTAAGGACATTTACACATGTCAAATGTATTTATTTATTTCATTTAGTAGGTATGTGTTTAACTGGTACTATTTATCCATGTAAGGAAATATTTTGAGATCAGCATTTCCCATTGATGGTCTTAGACATTAAGCTGTTTTTACTCCAGAACACCTGATTCAAATAGATGATCTTATCTGGGTTGTCTTTGCTCCTCAAAGGTCCACTGATGAGCCTCTATTTAAATCACCTGTGCTGAGGCATTGAAACCTAAACCTACAGAGCAGGGTGACTGACTCCGTAGGGGTGAGTTAAATACCTATTATTTCTTTTTTTTTTCTTCCCAAACAAACATTTAAGCTTAGTCTTAAACTCATTTGTTTTTACTTTTCACTAGAACTGATCTGTATTATATTTTCTTCACCCTCTGGTCATTTGAGTCTGGTCGTTTTGTTAACCGTGCCATGACTAATGTTGCACTTTTCACAAGTTAGTGAAAGAGGTTCTCCAGTCAGCCTACTAACTAGCCTTTTATTTTTAAGCTGGCTCTTATTGGAGCTTGCTTTGGTTCAGTGCTTTTTATGACCCGGAAGTCCCAAACCTTGCCTCATCCGTCACCATTTACTGAAACTGTTGGTTGGTTGTCGTGACCTTTTCAGAGCATTCGCATGCCAAACCCAGACTGTTTTTCTCCTCCCACTATGTTACCTGGTTGTAGGGGATAATATATACCTTTTGACTCCCAGCTCTGTCAGAGTTGCAGAGCTTCTAACTTTGTGCAGGTGGTTGACGGCTTGTTTGTCTCTACAGGAAGGCTCTGCTTCTACTACTTTAATCTGTTGATTTATTGAAGGATTTGAGTTGGTGACGGCTGAAAAGCTGCTGTTGTTGGATCAACCATGCTTGGCAAGATCCACACAGATTTGTTGATCACTGTGGCACTAATCTTTTTGGCTCATTTGGAATCTATGTGCAGGTAAGGACTTTTAGTTTTTGTAATGAATAAATACTGTCTTTCTAATGTTAATCTTGGACTACTTTTTTTTGTTTTTAGAGCTGAAAATGATTTGTCTTTGGTAAAATTACCAGGGTGGAAAGACACCTCAGGTATTGCATCGCCTCTAATTATAAACACTGGAAATGATGATGTCTGGAAGGACAGATCAGACAAACAATTAGTGTAATCCAGCTTTAATTTTATTTATTTTTTAAATCTCTAGATTATGTTGGCCGGTGTTTCTACAGCCAACATGGGAATCTGACTTGCGACTGGACAAGAAGCCAAACGGGTACTAAAGATGACGTGCAATATAGAGGCTGATTAATTTAATGGAAATGGTTCTTTTCCTTGAGATCAAATAATGTGCTAATCTGAAGACTATTGGCTCCTTTTTGAATTGGTGCATAATTACACACTTAAAAAAAAAGTTTGTTCAATTGCACTACTGCCATCTAATGTTTGAGAATTTCTCTGGAAATGGGTTTTACATTTTTATCTCTCTATCCAGGAGATAATTCAGTGGAAATACTGATGAGCCATCCACTGACTGTCACTGGCAAGGCCTGCTTGGAGTTCTGGCATCTGGCTTCAGGTGTTTCCAGTGGCGCTACATTGCGTGCTTTGCTGAAAAGCGGCTTGAGGCAAGTGGAAATCTGGACTTCTCCTCCTCTCCCCAGAGATGCATGGAGACAAGTCTCAGTGCCCCTGAACCTTACCGAACCAGGCACTCAGGTGACCGGCTCTACATTGGCTGTGCTGAATTGTGCTATGGTTTGAATTTTGTTTTGGTAACGGATTAATCTGTCTATTAGGTCATATTTGAAGCTGCCCATCCACTGTCTGTAGATCAGACAACATTAAAACAGATTGGCATAAGAAGTGGATCATGTAGTAAGTGCTGCTTACCCTCACAAATCTGAAGCTCTGAGCCATGATGTTCTCTTTCCCAGTTTCCTGATCATATTCTTACCCTACAGGAAACCAGTGTGACTCAAACACTGACCTGTGGACTGGAGACTCCACACGCTGCCTTTGCTCAGTTGGTCAGCTGTTCTGCTTTCTCTCTCATTGCCCTAAGGGCCAAATATGTGGTCTTGAAAGAGATGAACCCAGGAGCCTTTCCCCTTCAGGCGTGTGCACTATTCAAAGCAACACGGATTGTCACACCTTTGATGGTGCATTGTTCCGCTTCACTTCCCCCTGCACATATATACTGGCCAAAACGTGTTCAGCATCTGAAGCTCTGCCAAAGTTCACTGTTGCTGTAGCCAACATGCAAACGGGCAATGTGTCGCAGCCTACTATACAGCGAATCACTGTAAACCTGGGGAACACGAGGGTGTCCTTGCTAAAGAGTCAGACCCACTGGGTTGTGGTAAGTCTCCTCAAAGTAATTGTTTAAAGTGAACTGTTGTGGCATTTGGTGGGTGTCTAAATGTAGATGTTTTATCAATTTAAATGTGCTAAAATGATCACCTGTGTGTTTAACAAGCATGGAGTAGAGTAAGTTGTAAGTGTATGGCTGTAACTTATGTAATGCACCAGCTTGACACTGAACTTACCCAAACTGAATATGCCATCGGCATTCATTGGAAGGCAGGCTAAAGCTATATCATAATGTGCCCAGAATATTGACTCGACACAACTTCAGATTTGTAGCAATATCCAAAGCTTTAAACCCCTATGTAAAATGTTGCATGATTCCGTTTTATAGATGGCTTTTTTTTTTTTCCCCCCCTCAGGTTAATGGCATCTGGCGAGAGCTTCCACTAAACCTGAACAATAATACGATCCACATTGAGAGCAACCCTGCTGCTGTAGTAGTGCGAAGCAGTTCTGGAGTGTCTGTTTCCTTTGACAATGCTGGGGCTCTTCAGCTCAGAATTCCATTACAATATTCTGACAGGGTTTGTGGATTGTGTGGCAACTTCAATCAGCTCCCAGGAGATGACTTGCTCAAGCCTGATGGCACAAAAGCTGAAAGTGCCACAGCTTTGGCTGAGAGTTGGCAAACTGGGGGAAATGTCTCCTCCTGTGAAGCCATTCAAGTACCACAACAGTGTAACGCACGAGATGAGGCTCATTATAGCAGTGAGAATTACTGTGGACTCCTTCGTTCTGGCTCCGGGCCCTTTGCGTCCTGTCTACCAGATGTAGGCGCCGAGAGCTATTTCCGTGCTTGTTTACTCTCCTTGTGTTCTGCTCGTGGTGATCAAACAGTACTGTGTGAAGCGCTGAAAGCCTATGCAGATGTCTGCCGAGAGGCTGGAATTGCCATACCCACATGGAGGAACTCTACTTTCTGCTGTAGGTCTCGTTATCGACCATCTTTAACTTTGTAGCTCGTGGCTGGATCTCATGTTGTGTTCTCTTTCAGCGCTCGAGTGTGGCAAGAACAGCCATTATAATTCATGTGCCGATGGCTGTCCAGAGGTGTGCTCCAGTCTAGATCAATCGAGCTTATGTGGTAGCTGTGAGGAAAGATGCGAGTGCGACCACGGGTTCAGTCTCAGTGGGGGTAAATGTGTCCCAGCAGAGCATTGTGGGTGCTGGCATAATGGAAAACACTATGAGGTAACTGTTTATAATCTATTTGGTTACACAGTACTGCATTTTACTTAAACTTTTGCTTTTTCTTGACAGAGAGGGGGAATGACTGTGGAGGGCGACTGTGTGCAACAGTGCCAATGCATTGGCAATAATACCATGCGATGCACTGCAATGACGTGTGCAAGTGATGAAGTTTGTAAGGAAAAAAATGGCATCAAAGGCTGCTTCCCGTTCAAACCCGCCACATGTAGTGTGTATGGCGATCCACATTACGTTACCTTTGACGAACTGGCTTACAGCTTTCAAGGGGGCTGTGCTTACACTCTCGCGACAACATGTGGCAGGCACAGCACAGTGCAGTTCACTGTAACTGGCTTCAACATCCACCCTGCAGGACAAAATTTTACTAGAGCTAAACTTGAAGCTGTGGTTCTTCAGCTTGATGGACTGGATGTCACCTTGAATCAGAGTGGGCAAGTCGATGTAAGTAAGCAGCTATAACAATGCAAGCCAAATTAAACTGGAAGTGGGAAGGGCATTGGTTTTCATTGTCCTCAACTATAGCAATGATTTACATGCGTCTCCATTTCAAGTTGGTAAATTGTTTTGTCCTATCCTAAACCTTTAAAGCCTCCAACTTTAACAAAATGACTCACTGAGGTAAAGGCTAATTTGTCTGTCACTTTCATACCTTAAATGCTGTTCTGTTCAGGTCCATGGCGTCTCCGTCAGACTTCCTTATTCAACCAATGGGTCATATGGCTCACTGTGGATCTTTGTGAAGGAGGATTACACCGTTCTGGAGACTACCTTTGGCTTGAAATTATGGATAGATGGACACGGCAGGTTGTTCTTGCAAGTGGATGAACGTTACGAATATGAACTCTGTGGTCTGTGTGGCACCTACTCTGGATATCAAGAGGATGACTTCATGATGCCAGGAGGTCATATTGCCTCTGGATCATTTGAATTTGGTGACAGCTGGAGAACTCATACCACTGAAGAGTAAGTTGATGCCAGAAAATATCAGTTGTATTGAATGTATCTGGGTGTTGCAAGTTACTAAATGTCAGGTTTGTCGTCCTTGCTGTCATGAACATGTTGGTGGTCATACACAAAGGGACATTAAGGTGCTCTGAAAGTAAAATAAAGTATTCCTGGATGTTCTGAGTTACCTGGTTGCTGGGGTAGAATTTAAATACTGCAGTAACATAGTTGAAACTATCTAAGCATGCAATTTCACTTCTGTTGGTGAAAAGTAGATGTTAAATTTAAATATGGGAATGTTGATCTTGTGTAATCTACTGGACACAGATGATCACTCAAAGAAGTTTTTTTTTTTTTTTAGATGCACTGCCCATCCAAATGATCCTAGAGAATGTGACAATGATGGGACTGTGGCCAATGAGGAATGTTCCATGGTGTTTCATGGGGCCTTTGAGGCTTGCCATGAGTATGTTCACCCAAGCATCTACTTCAGCAGTTGTGTATATGACTATTGTGCCACAAGTGGTGATCAGCTCACTTTTTGCGAATCCCTGAAGTCTTATGCCACAGCATGCCAAGTTGAAGGAGTGGAACTCTCTAGCTGGCAAACTGGCACACCATGTGGTGAGTATTTGACCCTTAAAGACTTTAATATAAAGCACCTTGAAGTAAACTGGCTCAAAGATTAATGCCTGCTCCCACCCTTTCTATCCACTAATTTTCAGATTTCTCAACTCCAGATCCAACAATTCCAGGCACTACATCTCTAAACATCAATTGTAAGACATAAAATGGTACCTCTTGTCCAAAACTCTTAATTGGCTTGTCAAATGGCTTATTTTTATTTTTTTTTTGTAGCCTGTCCCCTTAACTGCAGCTTTGACACAAATATGTGTGGATGGGAGCAGCTCATTCAAGACAGTTTTGACTGGACAAGACATTCTGGATCTACACCATCAGATTTGACGGGACCAAACCAGGACCACACCACAGGAGGCAAGTTTTTTTTTTTTTTCTCTCCCCACTCATTTTCAATGTCAATGACTAATGTGATGCTTCCAGCTGGTTTTTACATGTACCTTGAGGGAGATGATGTAACCTATGGAGATCCTGCTCGACTGTTGAGCCCATCATGCCAGTTTGATGGCCCAATCTGCTTCCACTTCTGGTACCACATGCTTGGTTCAGCCACTAGTATGGTTCTGAATGTCTATCAACTCCAAGGTAATAAGGCTACCAGGGTATGGACTACAGTGGACAACAAAGGACCTGAGTGGCAGTTGGGATTAGCTGACCTGAGAATTTCTGGTCCATTCAAGGTAAGTTTTCTCCATATACCTCAAATTTGCCAATTCTCTTGTCTTGGAAATAACTGATAACTTTATTTCAGTTAATAATTGAGGGAATTCGAGGCTCCACTGCTCAGTCAGACCTGGCTATAGATGACATTGCTATCACTTCTGGGTCATGTCCAGGTGACTGCTGCCTATTAAAAATGCATACACAAATTATACTAAGTGATGTACATGAATTAGGATGTTCCTTTTTTTTTTTTTTTTTACCCCTTAGATGCCTTCCCCAATGTAACTGGAACTGCACTACCTTTCATAACTACAAAAGTACCCCCATTACTCCAAAGTATGTGCACAAGAAGTTTCCTTTAGAGGTTACTTGCCACTTGAAGATTTAATTGCCATATCTAGCAAATGAGGAAATGTAAAACTCAGACTTGAGGTTTTAGGAAGAGGAATAGTTGACTCTTGATACTCACTCATTCCAAAATTTCTCTCTAGTCTGCAACTTTGACTGTAGCTTCCAGAATGGCTTATGCACTTGGCGGCAGATGATCACTGACTCCTTTGATTGGGAAAGGAACAATGGCTCCACCCCTACTGAGATGACTGGTCCCTCTAGCGACCACACTGGTGGTAATGATTATTCTCCAACTCTGTGATCTTGAACTCCAGCCCTCAAAGGCTGGTCCTGCAACATTTGGTTGTCTTTCTGATTCAGCACACCTGGATCCACTATTGGCTCATCAGTATCGAGCTTGACTGCATGCTAGTGAGGCAGTTTAGCCATTGAATTGGTGTAGGACAGGAGATGCAGCTAAATGTTGCAGGACACTTGCCCTTGAAGGTAACGGTGTGAGAATTCTGCTTTACTCTGAGAAATTATATGAATGACATCTATACGTTTCCTTTTGACTAGATGGCCACTACATTTATATTGAGTCCATGAACACGACACATGGTGACGCAGCTCGTCTTATCAGCTCCCAGTGTACAAACACTGGTCCTCAGTGTCTGCAGTTCTGGTACCATATGTATGGGTCAGCAGATGCAATGGGCCTCAATATTTACCTTCTTGAGAACAAAGTAGATAAGGTAGTCTGGCAGAAGAGGAACAACCATGGTGATATGTGGCACCTGGCCCAGGTTGATCTAAACACAACTGCAGTGTTTCAGGTGATGTATCCAAATGTGGAATGTCTAGCTAATTTAAAATGATTGTGGACACTTACAAATCTAACTTCACCATGTAGATCATCATTGAGGGACGGAGGGGTTCCAATGATCAATCAGATGTGGCCGTAGATGATATTGCACTGCACCAAGGAAGATGTTCAGGTAAGCTTTAAAAAGAAAAAAAACTTGTTCTCTCTATCCTCCCAAGAAAAAAAACTAGCCTTTTCTCATTCTACATATCTGGGTGGCATAGGTACAGTTCTTTTTAAAATATCCACCCAAAGTGTCAATTCACCTACCATGATGGCTCCAGAACCCACAATAGGAAATGTTACAGCTCCCCTGAGTGTCACTTCGCCTACCACAACAGCTCTGGAACCCCTCACGCTGAATGTTGTGCCTCATACAATTAAACTAATGACCATCAATATGGACAATGCAACTAAAACTCCTGAGGAAGCCAAACACCCAGGTATGGTAAAGCCACAACAGTTTTTTTTTTTTTTTTAAACTACTACATGGAAAAATGAACTCTCCAAATTACTAACTTTTCATTTCAGTATGCAATCTTGACTGTGACTTTGAAAAAGATTTTTGCCAGTGGAGTCAGATGCTCACTGATGTGTTTGACTGGGAAAGGCATAATGGTTCCATCCCTACACTGATCACTGGTCCCCTCTCAGATCACACCACAGGAGGTATTCAACTAATTATAGCTAAACTGAGTTACATCCTGAGTGGTGTTCATGAATACTTTAGAATTGACCAAAGGATTAGATTTAGTATATTTGGTCATCTCAAGAATTACAAAATCTACAACTTTTCTCATTTCCTTGTCCAGATGGCCACTATCTCCACCTTGACGCAAGCATGGCATCACTAGGGGACACTGCTCGTCTTATTAGTACAGAGTGTTCAGACACTGGCCCACAATGTCTAACATTCTGGTACCATATGTCTGGCTCTGACACAATGGGTCTTCATGTATACCTGCTTCAAGACAGAAAGGCTACCATCTTGTGGAGAAGAAATGACCAAGGAAATGTGTGGCATCTTGCTCAGGTGGACGTGGTGGGAAATGGGACATTTCAGGTGGGGGTTCTTATATTTTCCCAATGAGTAAAGTACAGTGTGTAGTTTTAAGTGCCAATGGAACATGCTTCTATTCTGTGGTTTTGACTCAGATCATTTTTGAGGGCCAAAGAGGCACCAATGAATCTGGCGTAGCTTTGGATGACATAAAACTTCATCGTGGAGGCTGCCAAGGTAATCTTGTAATGTTTAGCTCTTAGTTCTCTAAAAACCCTCAAATTAACTTATTAATGTTGCAGATTTGGTCAACCCAGCAACTGTGGCACCAGCAAACTGGACTACAACAAATGCCCCTGAGGTTCCAGCACCCTCCAGTGAGACTGGACTGCATACTCCAACTACACAAAGCAATGCTACTTCTAGACCACAGGTTCCAGCTACAACCAGCTCAGCACCCTCCAGTGAGACAAGGCCACAGCCGTCACCCACAGGTGGACCTCATCCCCCAACTGCACAAGGCAATGCTACTGCTGGGCCCCACGTTCCAGTTCCAACCAACCAAGCGCCCTCCAACGACACAAGGCCACAGCCTTCTCCCACAGGTGGGCCACATCCTACTACTGCACGAGGCAATGCTACTGCTGGGCCCCACGTTCCAGCTCCAACCAACCAAGCTCCCTCCAATGACACAAGGCCACAGCCTTCTCCCACAGGTGGGCCACATGCAACAACTGCACAAGGCAATGCTACTGTTGGGCCTCAATTTCCAGCTCCAACCAACCCAGCACCTTCCCCAGAGACTGGTTTACAGCCTCCAAATTCAACTACATCACAAACGCCTAAAATTCCCCCCACAAATGAATCGCAAGTACCAACATTGAGGCCGAACCTTTCCACTAATCCTACAATGAGACCCCAACAAACTGTTCCAGAACCAGGAGCGCCACATGTTTCAAGTAAATTACTCTCCTCTTTCTATGAACAATATCTATAATTGTTTACGTTCAGAGTCGGACTGAAAGTTGTCAAATGTGTCTTTCAGCACCCTCTTGTGCAGAGAACAGTCACTACACCACTTGCATTCCTGCATGCAGCCCTACATGCAAAAACCTGACTGGTCCACCACACTGCAGTTCAGAGATTTCTTGTGACTCGGGATGTGTATGTGATGATGGCTTTGTACAAAAAGGGAGCATTTGTGTGCCTGTTCAGAAATGTGGATGTATTGACAGGAATGGTGAAACTCACCAGGTAAATAACTTTAAATGTCTCCAAATTTGCTTTCAAAGCAATGTGTATATTGTTCTAAGATTGTCTGTCATTTTCTAGTTCAATGAAATATGGTACACCAGTCACTGCAAGCAGAAATGCGAGTGTGAAGAAGATGACGGAGAGGGAAAGGTTGACTGCAAAAACAAAGACGGGTGTGAAGATGATGCTGTGTGCCTTCAGCTTGAAACGGGCAAATATTATTGCAAGTCTACAGGTAATTTCTGAAACATGAAAATTCCTTAACTCTCAATGTCAATGCTACCAACTTTTTTTTTTTGGTGATGTTTACAGACTTTGGTGAATGCACTGTCCAGGGAAACCCACAGTACCAAACATTTGATAAACTGAAACATGGTTTCAGTGGAACAAACTTGTATGTGCTGGTGAGGACCAAAAATCTGCCAAAGAATCTCCCAGAAATCTATATAGAGGGCACAAATGCATGCACTGATGACAGCAGTGAGGAGATGGAGAGAAGTGAAATCAGTGGAGAGGATGATGAGGAGGAGGAGGAGCACAAACGAAGATTGCAGGAGCTTAAAATTAAAGTTTACAACCACACTGTAGAGCTTAAGCACAAGAGGAAAGTGTTCGTAAGTATCAAAGCCATAACGTGTTTGACAAGCTTTACAAATTTCTAGTCTACTACTAGGAAAATACTGTATGGCTATTTTAATATTTCGAGCTTCTCAATTACTGTTTTTTTTTTTTTTTTTTTTTTTTTTTTTTTTTTTTTTCCTCCTCCTTGCAGGTGGATGGAAAAAGAATTAAAGCTCCAGGTTCAGCAGCTCCTGGCCTTGATATCCAAATGCATTCTTCTCGCGTCTACCTAAAGACGGATTTTGGCCTTTTGGTGGAGTTCAGTGGACACTGTAAAGCTGGTAATGACTCCTTAACCCACTATGTGAGCCACATCTCAATTCTGTTTACTTATGCAGACCTTTTTTTTGCTCTGTAGATATCATTCTGCCGTTCCTCTATAAAAGGAGAGTAGAAGGCTTGTGTGGAAACTTCGATGGCCGAAAGACGAATGACAAAGTGAAACCAGATGGAACTATCGCCAAGAATACACAAGAGTTTGGGGAAAGCTGGAGAGTGCATATCTAGGAGTACATTTTCATGTTTCATCTCCAACATTGTAAAATCATCCTTGGAAGTAGTGTGGCACTGTGTCTTTTACATTTTCAGACTGGCTTTGCTATGAATGTTCCAGTTTCCTTTGATCAATGTTTATCTGCAACGTAATCTCATCTGTAAAAGTTTGCTATTCTGGATTTTCTAATGCCGCGACTTGGATAAATGTCATTTGAGTCTAAATGCAAGAAACATGAGTATGTCATGTGTATTTCAAATGCAGTATCCTGCCTTCTGACATTCGAGTCTAATAAATTCAAAGGAAATGTTAACTTGTCTGTTTACTATGTGCTGTTTGACTGAACCTGTAGAACTAGAATGTCGGCATGCCAGTATTCTAAATGTACTGTTCCCTAACGCCACACTTAGTCTGATTAACCTTCAGACTTGTTCGCAGAGAAATGGCTTTGCTCCTGCTTTACTTTGTTCTTGTCTTTGGGGAGTTATGTTCCTGTAATGGTGAGTTGAAAATGACAACATTCTACTAGTGTCTAAAAATGCCTCTTGAATCGAGATTTCTTGTAACTCTTAAAATTAAAAGTAATCTGTCAGATTTAAACAATTGATGCAGAAATGGCTTCTTGCCATGACTTTAATGGCAACAGAAAAGTTTAGTCTTAGCCTTTTTTTTCTTTCTCTCCACAGTTAGTTCATGGGAATCGACACAATTATCTTTAGGAAACCAAAAACTGGCACGTTATAGCAAAAGATTTTCTGTTTGTGTTGGCATAAAATGGGAAATTACTCATTTAGTTGTGTATTAACTAGAGTATCCAAATGGGGTTGATCACAAGACAATCTTACTCGAGCTGGTTAAGTTAACTTTGATAGCTTACCTTGCAAAACACACAGCAGCTCCATAGATGTACCAAATGAAGATGACATCACCAGCTACACTGTCGATACTCTTATCGCTTCAACGAACAACCTCTGAAAGCAAAGGGTTTTGTATCTTTAGTTGAAATTAGTTTCTGAAATTTAAATTTTGCTTTTGTATCTCTTCTAGCACAAACAACATACAGAAATGCCAATCCTTCAGGTAATTTCATGAATGTAATTGACATTTTCCTCCTTTCTTTGTTGACCTTGTGAAATGTGTCCAGAAACTTCTCTGCCTATTTTCTACAATTTTACTGGTATGATTCTGTATCTTCATATAGGTATGGGGTGTTTTCAATGCATTTTGCATTTCTAAGCATCACAACACATCAGGACTGTTTAGTTTATACTATTCCAGTTTAATTTGACTAACTTGTGCTTTGTCATTTCTCAGCTGAAACGGTAACAAATGCAACAGGTAATTAATCAGTCCTTTACCACTAAATTGTAGGCTTAGATGTTTTTAAATTTTCAACTGGTACCTTGCTTAATAGCTGCTTTAAATTTATATATATATATATATATATATATATATATAATGGCAACCAATCTCACTGAATTTCCAGATCAACTCAGCTCCACCTCTTTATATTTAATTTAACCTGAGGAATTACACCTCAGAAGTTTTAAATGGAACTTAAAATAGGAGACTTTGAGCACAGAAATTCATTACTTCAAAACAGGTTGATAAAAATATTGCACATGAAATTAATACAATATTCTAATGAACAAAACCAAATAGAAAAATAAGAAAGCCCAATGGGCAAAGTAAACAATATAAAATACAACCAAACTGATGACTGTACTACTTAATGAGAGACTGCAACAGGAGCTCTTTTTTATGGGAGAAAAATCTGGTTAGTATCTGATTAAATCACAGGGATTGAGAGGAAGAGTGATTTGTAGGTTTAATTGGAAATATATTACGCAAATTAAAAATATGTTTGGGAGAGAAAAAAAATTGCCTGTTGGACATTAAACAAACTTGATCAGATCTTTAGACAGACTTGGACAAGTTTTTTTTTTTTTTTTTTTTTTTTTTTTTTGGGGGGAAAACCTTTTGGGGAAAATTTTTTTTTTTTTTGGTCTCCTTTTGTAAATGTGGGGGGGA